GGGGGGAGCTGGAGGCAGCACCAGTGTTCCCTCTAAGCTGAGTTAGTGTGAGCTAGCTCACATGTTTTTAGCCTCCGGCTCACACAGTTTTGCCTTCGCTCAGGAAGGATGGGCTCCAGAGCAAACTGATGCATGCGGCAGACAGATCGCTCGCTCAGAACTTTAATGCTGGTAGCTCACAAAGTAGAATTTTTGCTCACAAGACTCCACAGCTTAGAGGGAGCATTGGGCAGCACTGCGAACGGTCTGGGTTTGGCCGGTCCCGGGGAGAGAGAGGCTACCATTGGGGAGTTGGCCTTGGGCTCCCCAGGCTGAGTTGTGGAGGCTGCTGGGGGTAGAAAGAACAAGAAGGGGTTTGATCTATATCCCACCCTTCACTACCCGAAGGAGTCTCGGAGCAGCTTACAATCTCCTTTCCCTTTCCCTCCCTTCCCACAACATACACCCTGTGAGCAATGCTCCCTCTAAGCTGGGGAGACTTGTGAGCAAAAAATTCTACTTTGTGAGCTCCTAGCATTAGAGTGGTGAGCCAGCGATTTGGCTGCTGCATCAGTTAGTTTTGCTCTGGAGCCATCCTTCCTGAGCGAAGACAAACGTGTGAGCTGGAGGCTAAAAAAACCCTGTGAGCTAGCTCACACTAACTCAGCTTAGAGGGAACACTGCCTATGAGGTAGGTGGGGCTGAGAGAGCTCTCTCGGGAACTGCCCTTGAGAGAACAGCTCTGAAAGAACGTGTGACTGACCCAAGGTCACACCAGCAGCTGTATGTGGAGGAGTGGGGAATCAAACCCGGTTCTCCCAGATTAGAGTCCACGCTCCTAACCACTGCACCAGCCAGGCAGTAGATGATGTGAAAGACCTCTGCCTGAGATGCTGGAGAGTCGCTGCCAGTCTGAGTAGACAATACTGACTTTGATGGACCAAGGGTCTCATTCAGTATAAGACGGGTTTGTGTGTTTGTGTGTGCTCACTTTTCCTTTTAGCTCAAGTCCGAAGACTTCCTCCAATCTATGAAGCCCTCTTCCAAATTCCGTGGCTCTTCTTTCAGAAGAAGAGTCACTTAAGTTGTAGAAAGGCTAGAGGAGGCTCCTTGTGATGGACCCAAGTTCAGAGAGCTCTTAGACCAGAGGATCTGACCAGTCCACAGAGGGCTTGTTTGGTAGTCACACTGATGCCATTTGGAGTGGAGGAAGCAGAACATTTCAATTACCTCCAGAAGGTGCTTGGTTCTCACTCCCGAGCATCTCACTTGAAAATATTTTATTGTATTTCTGTGTTGCCTATCACCCTGGGGAAACCAATGTGTTCTCCTATCAGGGCAGAGCTAATTTAAATATCAAGGTTTAACTAGAGTGAATAGGAAATGTTCAGGATCAAAGAAAAGAGACTTCGGCAGATGGCGTGTACTTATTTGGGGCGTTCATAGAAGCTGCAACCAACGTGCACACCGCACGATCCAAGATAGGGTTGTCAGCCTCCAAGTGAGGCCTGGAAATTTCCCACAATTCCAGCTGTTCTCCAGACAACCGAGATCAGTTCCCCTGAAGAAAATGGCTGCTTTTTTTGGGGGGTGAACTCTATAGCATTGTACCCCACTGAGTTCCCTCCCCAAACCATGGTCTTCCCAGCTTCCATCCCCAAATCTCCAGGTATTTCCCAATTCTCCTGATGGCACCTGGTATTTTTGGCCACTGTGTGACAGAGTGTTGGACTGGATGGACCATTGGCCTGATCCATCATTGGCTTCTCTTATGTTCTTATATGGAGCAGAGGTCCATCAGTGGCTGTTAGCCACAAGGTATAGATAGGAACTCTCGGTCTGGGGCAAGTGATGCTCTGTATTCTTGGTGCTTGGGGGGCCAACAGTGGGAGGCCTTCTGGTGTCCTGGCCCCACTGGTGGACCTCCTGATGGCAGCTGGTATTTCTGGCCACTGTGTGACAGAGTGTTGGACTGCATGGGCCATTGGCCTGATCCATCATTGGCTTCTCTTATGTTCTTATGACAACCCCACCTCCACCCCAGGTGAAGCCTTATGTTGGACAACTGTCCATTTTAAAAAAAAGATATGTAAAAATCTAAAAGGAAATTATGAGTGTAATGTGGCTTTGGTGTTTGGCTCAGTCACTCTGGAATATTGTGAAGAGAAAATACACACATGATCACACACTAGAATGATAAAAGGGTTGGAACACTTTC